GAATAGATTATCAACTGGAATCGACCGACATCCCTCTGATAATCACCTGATACAAGAATCACCAAATTCCGCCCCAAGTCCGACGCTTTCTCACGCTACATTCTCACAGCCCGTCGCGCCGCGCCGAAATCTCATTATTTTTTGTAACGAACGGCATGAGAAAGCGTGCCATGGGAAAGTCGCGGTTGTGCGTATCGAATGCCGAAACTGTTCCACCGCGTCGAGCGCCCCGTACTCTTCTCACGTTTTTGAAACGACCCAACTGGCGAAACGACTCTACAATTCGCCGAACTGAATCTAATCTCGGTTTTACGCTTATCTATTTCGTCGTCGTGGGAAACGTTCCGCGAATTATCACTGCCCAGTGTCTCATTTCGTTGCCACTGATTGTAGGCAGAACATGGTCAGGTTTTCAAATGAAGTAACTCGATAGAAGTTTTGTAATTCAGTGTTATTATTAAATGATCATAAATACTTTAGGAAGTTATTATAAATTATTATTTACCATTTACGATATCAATGTTAGTGTCAGTAAAATATTGCATTTAATACGAATCTCAAAAAAAAGATTCATGAAATTCAAGATAACCGTAGAAAGCGATAGAACAGCATTAGAAACCTATTGGTACACGACACACGCGTGCCACGCGTGTACACTACGTAAGAAAGGTTAGGGTTGATCTAAGCGGCGTGTTTAGAATCATCCGGCGAACATGTCGAAGCAGTAGCTCTCCTAAACCAGTTGTGCTCGCACTAGGAACGGCCTTGGAATCTCAAGGTTGTTCTGAACTCACCAGGCAAGGCCACTGACTACCTGCGCCTGCTATGTAGTTAACGGATCCCTCCGCTCGCTTTCTACGCATCACTGCTTGCTACGATCGCACTTTCATTGACTAGTTCAGATATCTTTTTATGATACACAGCTTGAGACAGTGTTTCTTGGCCAGCTGTGATTAGTATTAATTTCCTCTAAGAGGACAAAGTTTAAAAAGATTAATAAGTCTTGTTTTTATTCAATGCTCGATCTGGCATCGATGCTGCTGGATTTGGAAGTTTCAAGATGAAAACTAGCAGTAGTTGTCAGATACAACGAAGATCCTATGAACTTTCTTTTTAACTCCACTTGTTAAAGAATAATTGGCGATGAACGAACTAATTAATCGATTCTTGAAGTATCCGAGATAGAAGAAAATTGTATACGATCGTGTTTGCAAATAATAGCAGTACCTACAACTTTTATTTGAAGCATTTTTTGATATTTTGAAAAAAATAAATTTTCATTTTTCCGAGATTCCCTTTAGGTTTTGCGAAATTTTCGTTTGTTACAAATAATTGCTTACTTGTTGCTGTTAGCGGAAAATGTTTGAAACAACAGTTGTAGGTACCGTCAGAAGCTACAAGTTCCGTATGAAACATTTTTTCTATCGTCGATAGTTAACGAGTATTTTGCAATAAACTGTTCTTTCGTTTTTTTGCCAAATACTCGTTAGCTGTCGACGCTAGCGAAAAATATTTTCAACAAAAGTTGTAGCTCTCGTTGTTAGCTATAAATAAAGTCGTATGTAACCTTTCCATAGGTTCAACGGTTTAGGAGTATTTTTAGAAGTATAGTTAGAAGAAAAATTCATAGAATTCTTATAGAAGCTGTCAATGCCTACAACTTCTGTATTAAATAATTAATTAACAAATAAAATTGTTTATTGCTAAAATCTTTTCTTCGTAAGTTAGTAGGGCTTGATATTAACAATAAACATTAATATTAGTATTCATAATTAAAAAATGAAATCTCACGTCGATAATTTACAAATTGTTTGCCATATAAGATTACGATTGTGAGAAGGCGAGGCAAGCTTCGATAAATAGATTACATACGAAATGCACGGAGTGCGTTTTACGATCGTTCACATTTCGTACACACGTTCCTCGCTCATCGCCTGGGAATCATCGACGTTTCCCATACCCAAGCGTCGTGTGTACGCGACGCCGCATTCCTTGTTCCCACCGTAAAACCGGTGTGAAATCGACTCGGTTCCCAAACCGAGTCCGTGGGACCAGCGTCCGATGGCCACGTTCCGATTTCGTGTATCGGGCCTCGTTTAGAATCGAATTGAACACGCAAGCCTGTTTAGCTGTCCGTGTTTGTTCAGCAAATAAAAGGCTATCGTGAATCAAACTACATTGTATACAATTTTGTCTTGTTCTCTTCTCTTTCTTTTTATGGCATGCTTTTCTTTAATCAAATTCATTTGAAATTTATTGTTAGCCATCTCGTCGGAGACGTCCGGTAATGAACTTGGACCACTTCGGAATTATTCTCTCCTAATCCATTTTAGTCGAATGCGCCACTTATTTAAGCAGCCGAACTCTCGACGCCTTTAACCCACTTTCGGGCATACGACCTCCGCGACGACCATACTACCCTGTCAATTTACTTATTAATTTAGATTATGTCCCGCAAGAGCTAATTGCCGTGAAACGTTAGACCAGATTTCACTCGCCAACTATGAAACACGAAATTGTCGAGCAGCTGAGAATTTATCGTTCACGGTTTCACATCAGATTTATCGCTCGTGCTTAATTTAAAAAATTCTCCATGGGTTCAATAAGTTTAATGTTAAAATGATAAATCCCAGTTTACTGCTCGATTTCTCTTGCAATAAAATAAAATAAAATAAAATAAAACGTTGCGCTGTTTGGATCGCATTCAACTGCAGTAATATTGTTTACGATAAAATATGTGTTGCACAATTTTTCCCAGAACGAACGTTTACAGATCGTTAATAATGAAACTCAAACTCATTTGGAAATTATACGTAAATTCTGTGTTTCAATTGAAACAGAGTACGTTTGAAACGATGAAACATCAGCATTTACATGAATCGCGAATTTTATAAAAACGTGATCGCTGTGAGAATAATGCAACGCACGCATACAATACTGTGAACCGAGAGGTCATTACGGCTTGGAAAGAGGAGTGAGTCCCATTGGTCGACAGAAATTTGGAAGGGGCCAGGCGTCCGACGAATGAGACCCGGCTGCCTAAAATAGTCCTAAAAGATTCATCGGGTAGGGAACGCACCTACAGGCCTGCTGTTCTCCTAATAAAGTGATACAGTTTATTGGACTTCTTCAGATTGGAATGCGGCTTGAGTGACACGCTTATCCACCTTCGAGCGTGCACCTGCCGTTATTTACGTCGACACCTGTTCTGCTGTCATCGTCGCGTCAGGAAATCATTCAGAAAGTACGACCGGCACGTGCGCGCCTCGTGACGACGTTTAGCCGCGCGCGTTCGGGCCGAAGCTTCCCGGCTAACCAGCTGTATTTTTATGCTGCGCTGATAGACTCACTATGCTTGGACGACAAGTGCCAGACGGGATTGGCAGTGGAACAAGTCGCGGAACTCTCGAGCCACGTCAGATGCGTTTATATAAAATAAATTCAACTGTAATCTTTTAAAGCATTGTACGTCAAGTGAAACTAATTAATATCAATGAATAAAAGCTATACAGTCAAGCTAGATGAATCTATCAATGAATAAATACGTTTGTATCTAATCAAGCTTACGATAACTGACGAAACCGATGATAACGACCAGAGTTGTGACTCGAAGAGTGCTTATCTTTATCGCCTTTCCATTAGACGCATTTGATTAACTAAACAATTTACAGTTCAGTCAAAACATCTACTTCATACATTTTCGTATTATTGAAGTTGATCATATCTATGATTCATTAATTTTCTTCACAAAAATTGTCTTACCGAACAGAAATAGATTATACAAATGATTTGTCAAACTGATTAATATTTTATTAAATACTGATGTGTCGAAATGTAGGAATAAGCAATTACGTACATAAATGTATGTTAGCAATGAAGCATTGGACTAGAAATATTGATCATCGCTGGCAATAAAATGGCTAGGAACAATGTACCATCATGTACATTTATCTAATCTGACATCGAGTGGAAATAAGCTTCCAGCTCGGTAATGACGTCAACTCGATTCGCGTCACGCGTAGAGATTTACAGAGACCATTTGTGTACTGAACAATACGCGTCATTTACAGAACTCGTCATTTCCCTTTCTTGGAAATCTATTTTAGTACAAGTCTGCGTAGTCCTGCAATAATAAAATAAATGTAGGAGTGGGAATAAAATCATTTAAATATCTTAGCAGTCTATATTCCATTGAATAATAATAATTAAAAATATAAAAAGAATAATTAAAAAATAAATAAAATAGATATAAAAGAATAATTAAAATAAATTACGGTCAATGCAATTTTGAACGAGGTTTGATTCAAACATCGTCTGTTGCTCATTATTTATTGTACTCAATGCGAGATTTATGTTCGATTAAATACAAATAAAAGAGAGATAATAGCTGTTGGTTTATTATTATTATTATTAACAATAAACAAAAATAATACTTGTGTTGAGAGACACTTCGGTATATCATAAATTAGAGTCTATCTCTGTTATTTTAGTCAATGGGCATCTGGCCATAACCCGACCCTTAAAGGTCCAGGCCTGCAATGTTTCTTCTAAACCTAAACTCTAGACAGATTTCCGTCGTGCATTTTTCTTTTCAGTTAGTCTCGTCCAGAGAGTCGAGGTATTAAAACGTCTTTCCAAGTCATAAAATAAAATAGTAAAATATA